ATCAACAAGTAAGTAAAATCTATTATCTTAGTCCATGTAAAGTTCATTTATTTGGTATTCAAGATGAAGCAGTAAGGAAACAAATTAATTATGTTCTTAATGAAGATGAAATTATAGGAAAAGGACCTGATGGTATTATTATAAATACTTTTTAAAATTCAATGAAGATATTATTCCATTATTTTTATTTTTTCTAACATTATAAAGATTCAGCTTCGCTTCTAATTTTTTTACTTTTGCTTTATCTTTTATAACATGTTCATTCAATGACATTTTGCTTTCTTCCAAAGAAATTTTACGTTATTCAATTTCAAACTGAAGAAGTATGTTTTCTTTATTGTCGTCATCAAAAATATTTTTTTTGATGATCTAGCCTGTTCATTGTCTGATAATTGAACATATAGATTCTTTACCTTTTTTTAGGATATTTTATTTGTAGAAGCTACTTTTTTTTTTTAGATTATGTGATTTTATAAATTAATAAAAATATCTATCTTAAAAAGAAAATTATTATTAATGCAAAAAAACATTAAAACCTTTCAAAGCTATTATTTCCGATAGCATACATGATGGCAAAATAGTTTTGTTTTGACAATAATTTCGACGATTAGGGTTCAAACATTTCGAATATACCCTAACAGGTTTCGAAAAAATCGAAATTCGAAATTAATAAATAACTTTTGCATTAATGTCTTTAAAGTGCTTTTATTTCAATTTTTTGAATTTTGATTTTGATTTTGAATTTTGATTTCGATCTTGAATTTAGGTTTCGATTTTGAATTTCGATTTTGATTTTGATTTTAATTTTAATTCCGCCAAGGGTATTTCGATTTCGAAAACTTGTGTGATTTTTTCGAAAGTTTCGAATTTTATCAAATGACTTTCGCCATCATGTATGTCCGATAGTCATTTAAAAAAAGCATAGTGAGTGACCAAACTTTTACATATACTTTTTGTAAAAACCAAGCTACAAATTGATGTAATTTTATTTATTTTTATTTTTATTATACAAAATTTGTGAAATTATCAAAAAAAGTGTTTTCCTCCAGGCAGTGTATATATATATATATGATAGCAACAATAGATTCCTTGATAAATTAATTCTTCTTTACTATCTCATAAACTTCAAATTTTTCCACCAAATAAATTTTTTCATTTTTTTCATTTTTATTTCTAAAATTTAAATCATTTTTATAAGAATTCCAAGAACTAGGACTATGATAACAATAATAACAATAAGGATCATTGTTAATACTATTATATAGATGAAGATTATAAAAATTTATAGTCTCTTCATGAAATTCCATATTATCTACAATTACATTAATACTTTGTCCATCATGATATATTGCATATATTGGCTCCATAACTCTACTTAATATTGAATTATTAATTTGATTTTCATCAATTTTAAAAATGAAACTTTTATTTGTTTCAATCCAATACTCA